GTGTAAACAGAAATATAGCCTCCTATTTAATTTTTTTATGCAAAAGTGCAATATCTATTATGATGTCAAACAGCGCCCTCTAGCTACCACGAAAAAAAATTATGGAAACAAAATTTAGACTGGAGATCATTAAGGAAGAAAAGCTCTTTTAAATGAGCCCTAGTTTGTTTAAATCGGTTAACCTAAACCAGAGTTATCCTTATTTTAATAAAAGCAAGTTTAACCTTCCCCCACCACTTTATTTTATGAGATATAGCAAAACACTCTGTATAAAAAAAATACAAATTTTTCGATGATTACTATAGTAATATTTAAAATACCTGTTCACCTGCATATTTTTGAGAAAAACCCTGTTTTCTGATTGGCTATTAGAGAAACGCCCCCTAGCGGGCATTTTTCGAACTTGGAAATAATTTCCAGCGATTTCTCTTCGGTCGATTTACTTATTACAATCTTTTTCCCAAAGTTATACGATAAGTAGTTTCTGAGATACAGCCGGCGTCCATTCTTAGTTGGCCACCCGGTACTAGGCATGGTATAATAGCGTTGTTTGAAAGATGAAAGCAAAAATGAAAGGCAAAATAAAATAAAATAAAGTAAAAATATTTTCTTTTCTTTTATACATTTACATAAGTTTTATTGTTTATATCTATTTTTACGGTTAGGTTAGGCCAATAAACATTTTTTTTGACAGTGGTGGACATTAAATATATTATATTGCAATACACATAAATATGAGCCGTTGATTTTATTTAAACGAAAATTGATGGAAAATAACAAGGAATGTCATCGTTCGATATTTGTAAAATGAGTGGCGGATAAAAGTTGCATTAATATATACCACCTTAGATATTACGAGAACAAATTATGTTAAGCTGCCGCTTAGGATTATATGGTCTAAAAATTATAGTAGTAGGCTAGGAAACAAAAAGAGGTAAATTAGTTGCGTCAAAATATCAAAACGCTTAAGTTCAGTTTTCATGCATCCGAATTTCGGGCGTTATCTTAAAAAAGATGACGTCATAAATTTTTAAACGTGTTTATGTAACATTATGGTCCATCCACATAATTTTTACGAATTTCTTGGTTAATTATACGTAGGTAGTTCTGAGATTAAAATGTCCGAAAGTCGGCCAATTAATAATTTTATTAAAATTTCTAGGAATTTTGTGCCGCCGGTATACAGGGTTGTTCACCACATACGACACGGAGTATTGTAGCTAAACGATGAGATTTTTACAAATTGTATGTTTGGGGTTCGTTGAAGGACTATTAGAGCTACAATTTAAAAATATTTTTACAAGATACAGAGTGTCCCAAATAAATAAAAAATATCAAAGTTGTATTTTTTTAAATGGAACACCCTGTATATTATTACATTTTTAGTTTCTACGATTAAAATAAAGGTAAATTTGATTAAGGTTTATTATACTTAAACCTTACCGTTTTTGAAATATTTTCAATTTTGTGAAATTGCAGTAAAATTTTAAAGCTTCATTTCTCCAAGGGTATCAATGACTAAATATTTAATGAAGTTTATTTATTGATCAGTTATTGTGTTGCAATAATAAAAATAATACTACCTTATACAGAGTGTCTAAAAATTTATTTTAAGTAATTATTAGCTTCAAACGGCAATAACTTCTTTAATTTAAATGGAATGCCCTGTATATTTTAGGAGAATCAGATGCACAATTAAATTGTCTATCAAATTGTATTATACCATTTTTTACCTATCCCTTCAAATTTTCGTAGAAAATGCATTTAATGCTAATTATTTTTAAATTGTACCTCTAATAGTCCTTCATCGAACCCAAAACTTACAATTTGTAAAAATCTCATCGTTTAGCTACAATACTCCGTGTCGTATGTGGTGAACAACCCTGTATATGGTATTTTTCCATAGTTATCGTATTTTGACACATACTAGCCCAAGTATAGAGGAACCGTTAAAACCATTTTCAAAACTGTGGGAATTGTTTCCACCGACTTGTCTAATTTGCCTGCCCCAATAATAGTATATTAAAGAGTGGACTTAAAAAATCAAATCGAAAAAATAAATTAATTATATTTGAAATTCAAAATGAGCACAAATCATAGTGAGTGAGTGTTGTGTGTTGTCAGTAGTCAGTAGTTTTAAATGACTCACTAAAGTGTGTTTAATTCAGAGTCACTTCAAAATATGGTGAACATACACATAGGAAATGAATTATTTGAAGAACTTTTGACTTTTTTTCTAATTATTTTGTGAAATATAATACTTCTTTAAATACCTAATGAAACAAAAAAAACACAAATTTTTATGAAATACTGTAATATGATATACCCAATTTGTTCAAGTGATAAGTAAGGGTACGTTTATGTTGGAGCTGCGATAAACGATAAAAGCAGTGAATTAGCGCTGCTCTTATCATTGCTCAACTGCCAACCGTGTCTCGACGCGTTGCTCCAATATAAACACCTACATATAAATTAATATAATAATATTCTTTGCTTCGCTACTATCGCTGCTCTTATCGTTTATCGCCGCTCCAACATAAACGCACCCTAATAAAGAAAAAGAAGTAAATACCGGGAGCGTCTCAAAAGTGGCTCACCCCTATAACTTTTTTATTTTTTCAGTTAAAAAAACGAGTTTTGGTATGTTAGTATATAACATAAATTAGGATTGATTGACATATTCAGTTGTTTTCGGTCACTTCCTGTTTCACCAGAAATGACTACAACTTTTTGTTTTTAAATGGCACCCTCCATATTTTTTTACTTTATTCGATAGAAAATGACAATCTGCAGTTCGTAACGAAAATTTGACTTGAAATACCAAGTGTGTGGTATCAAATTATTCGTACAAAAATGCTTTTTCCAAATATGCTAATGAGCGACCCTCGTTCCATTTAAAAAAATTGAGATATGATTAAAAATACGATTTGAGCATTTTCTAACTGGTCAGGACAAGACACTAAAAACATGAAACGATCAAATCTATTTTTCCAAAGCTCCTTGATTAAGAATTAGTGTTTTTAACATAGCCATGGCGCTCTAGACTGAATTTTAATTACGATTTTTTATTAAGCGAGAATGTCAAAAGTTGACATATGATATCTCATTGTATTCAGAATATAATTTTCTATCGAATAAGGTAAAAAAATACCGCAGGTGCCATTTAAAAATCAAAAGTTTTAGTCACTTCCGGTGAAACAGGAAGTGACCAAAAACAATTGAATACGTCAATCAATCCTAATTTATGTCATATGCTAACATACCTCAACTCGTTTTTTAATTTAAAAAAAAAATAAAAAAGTTATAGGGGTGAGCCACTTATGAGACGCACCCGGTATATCGCAATTTCATTTTAAAATCTAAAAAGTATTTTATTTTTATAAAAGAGGTTAATATTTTATACATTTTAATATTTTAACATTGTAAAGGACTGAATAAAAATAAAACATCAAAAATTAATTAATATACATTTATTTCAAAAGAGACATAAATATTTTGTTAAAATTCTTACATAAATCAAAATGTTAATGCATTTTACAAAAATATATAATACACAAAAGATACATTTTTAGAAATAAAATGTATTTATCAATATATTTTTCATCATACAAAATAATATGCCGTATAATAATATATGCTATAATATGTATGTTACATATTTATACAAATTTTAGATATATTACCTTAAAACATTTATACGTTGAAAATCATTGTTACAATTATTAGATTTTAACTATTTTTTCATCATATTTAAAACAAAAATGCAATAATATATGATTTCGTCACGATTACTTTGCAAGTATAAAAGTTCATAAAGAGAATAGAAAGAAGCATTTCCGTAGTATAACAAATACGAAATAATTAAAATACATCACGATTGCAATACAAGGCAGGTCTACTGGAAATAGCAGCAATGGTTTCTTTCGAGTTAAAAATTAATCAAGGTCTAAAACAGGAGGTGGTCTCTCGCGACTGATTACTCGACAAAACCGACGTATTTGATATCCACAAACACAGTCCAAAATTATTATACATTCAATCAAGAAAATTACTTCTGCTATTATAACCATAACACGAATATTGTCTTTAGTATGCTCGTCCAAGACTAAATTAACCTTCTCGTCCAAGCTGAGGTACGCCTTCGGTGGCTTAGTAGTACTAGACTGCTCATTTTCAAAATCAAATGGAATTCGAAACTGTCTCATAGCACGTACCTGGTCGGTGTCGCTTGTTCCGGTCTCTTGGATATTATGGCAACGAATGCTTTCTCGATGGTGCAAAGCACCGAGATATCGACCTTGCGATACCGATATGCTCTTATTTTTAAAATACTGTAAAACCTTTTGCAAATACGTACAATCAAAGGCATTTCGATTTAAGTCCACCGTAAATTGCTTGCTTTTAAAATGTACAGTGAAATTTAAATAATCTATTTCGTGTAAAAAATTATCCGTTAGATTGAGTAAAAGTAAACTAGAAAAAGTAAAATTATCAGGCCTATCTGACCCCTTCATGTAAAAGGGTAATGTGGTCAAAGCATTCCCCGATAAATTTAGAGTTTCCAAAGTAAAGTTTGTAGATATAAAGGCTACTAAAGGTACTTTGGAAATATCGGCGTAAGAAAAATCGAGATGCAACAAATTGAATAATCCCTCGAAACTATGAGAGTGATCTATACTTTTCAAGCTGTTATGATCTAAATGCAGCGCTTCTAACTTAGCGAGACCAAGAAAGGAGTAATCCTCGATCTCCATAATATGGTTGTACGATAAACGTAATTCTCTAAGATTTTTTAAATATTTAAAGGTCATAGTGTTCAAGTGAGTAATACGATTATATATGAGATTTAATGATACTAGGGTTTCTAGGCCGTACCACTGCGAAGGGTACAAATCGACAATGTTGTTCTGCCTTAAATTGAGAAAATGTAAGCATTGTAGATCACTAAAAGCCCAGCCTCTAATTTCGCGGAGGCCGCTGTGACTAAGGCTCAACTGCATAACGAAGGTTTGTTCGCCAGAAGAAAATCCATGCCTAGGTACTAAGTCCAGCGGACCTTGAATGATCACGTCGTGTTTTATTAAGGGGTGCATTCTACGCTTCTTAATGAGACTCGAATTGTATGAAGCACTCTTTTGGTATTCTGCTATATCTTTAAATATTCGAATATCTGCATGTTTCAGGTCATAGCCTTTCAAACAAGGTCCAATAAAATATTTGTAATTGTCTAGGTACGTGCTATATCCGACATCATCCAGCAATCCGGTAATGAAACGGAAATATATCATTAAGTGAATAAGATGCTTCCAAATCATTCTGAAATAAAGAAGAAAAAAACAGTAACATAAATGATTTTTTTATTTAAAGTAAATTAAAGTATAGAGATGAACAAAATTATTATATCTAAATAAAAGTTGAAACTAAAGCTTCATTCAGAACCTCGAAATCAGTGGAATAAATTAGTAGTTTCAATTAGTCGTAGAAGTTTGTTCACCTATAATTTTAATGTAAGTATTCAGAACGTCATAATTAGTGGTGGTAATTTTCAATTAGTGGAAAAAGTTAACAACCTTTTGACTTTTCCACTAATTATACTTCAAAATTTGCGAGGAATGTCATTTTGGCGTTTGATTATCAACCGTTAAGAAAAATTTTGGTTAGCAATCAAAAGTTTATTGTTTTATAAGCTAAATATTATGCTTTCTCTGTGAATACACCAGACTACCGCAAGTTGTTGCTAGGATATTTTATTAATTTTAATTTTGTTTTTTAGACATTGTAAATGATCGTAAACTAAAAATATAAAGTGTAATTGAAACCACTAATTGGGAGGTTCTGAATGAAGCTTAAGAGAAGCACAAACTGACGCGAATAATTCGGCGTGAGACGGGAAAATTCTTATGCCCCGAAATTTTCGGTGTCCCAATGTTCATTACGTACAGGGTGTCCCATTTTCGTGTTTTACAGGGTTTCGAGTTTATGAGATAGTAAAGATGCGCAATTCTGTACTACTTTTTATCAAACTAAAGATACCACTCACAGATTTGTCTTAACCCTGTTGCCTCTTTTAAATACAGGGCGAATTTGAAATTGGTGCATTTTTCGACTCCCCCCGTATATCGGCTGTCTTATAACTTATCGAAAACTAAGTCCCGTAGAGTTTTTCACGTAAACCTAACACCAGTTTTTCTCAGAAAGTTATCATTCTTGAAATATGATCCAAACTTGTTGTTTTTTTTAAAACATGTTTTTTTTAAATTTTAAATGAGATAATCTGTATATTATTTTTATTTTACTTGTCTTGTTATGACCTTTCTAAAAATACAATATAAAAAAATACATAAAAAATTCACAGATTTTGCAACATGCGCAACCATCATAGGCGTATTGAAAATACCAGACACAAAAGTCGGCGGTGGTCGGCAATCATCTGTTTTTTACATTTTATTTAATTAATTAATTAACCTGTGACGTCATTTGGAAGAGCTCAATAGAAATATGAAAGAACTAAACCTTGTTTGGAAAGCAATTTGACATTCGTGACGTCAGCATTTTGGCAGTCTAACGTATCGCTAACTGCCATTCGCAAATACTGGGGTCGGCATTACTGGTCTTGGGTGCCGATTTTCGTGTGTACGAAACGTAAAATAAGATGTACTGAATAAAGACAGAAGGCAAGTATTTTCCCAAGCGCATGGATCTAGCGTCAGATTAAAGTGATTATATTACAAATATTTCGTATTTTGGCTCTCTCCGACTTAGAGATTAGCGATTCACTCCTATACATGTAAACGCCGACCTAAGGTTTTGTTTGCCAGTAGGGTATATTCGAGATACGTATAGTGAACAAGTGAACCGTTCACAACGTTAAATAATTTTGATATTTGATTTTTATCGTGATGGCTTTTTATAAAAGTGAACAATTTATTAAAAAAAAATATTAATGATGGAGATGGACGTGTGCGGATTCATGAATGGTCACGATCACGGTCACTACACTATAGAAATGTGAGGTATGTATATACATAGAATTAATGGCATTAATTTGCAATAGCACCTGGAACCCACAGTTTCATTATGGAGCCAGATTAAACCAATCAGAATGAGTATTATGTTACCGTAAAAGCCCGAATATTGGTTAAACGTAGGGTTACCCACGTAGGAGCCCGAAATATGCAAAAAATGTCAGTTTAGGTTAAGTATAGATTAGGCCTATATTTTTTTATTAATGCAAAACCAACTAAAACCTAATTCTAATCTAACCTAAACTCACTCCCCCTTTTGCATATTTTGGGCTATTACCTAGGTATTTCTAGGTTTAACCAATATTCGAACTTACGGTTAAATTCGCCGTACAAAAAATAAGTAATAGTTACTGTAGATAAAAATAAATTAAAATATAGTTCCACGATAATTTAGTTTGCAACTTCTTTTCATCATACCTAATAAAAAACCGTCACAACCACAAATATACATAGGTGCCCATAATATGAGTAGCGGTATTGACGGTTTTTTGTTATGATGAAAATGTTGTGTGATATGAAAAAGCAATAAAATATATTATCGATTGCAGGAACTATACCTAGTTTACCTTCAGTATGTCCAATTAATATAGAACATTATACCTATGCATGATATCTATGCATGAAAATTTGCTACCATTATATTTTGATAGTTGAGTTTTTGAAATTATTATTTTATAATTATTATTTCTTAAACAAAACAGACCCACAATAATTCAAATCTTTATGATCCAAGACTTCCAAGAATTATAAAGTAATCTCACGTCAATTTTTCACAGTTTTTTTTAATTATTGCATGCTTTAAATGTTTGCAAAGTTAACAAAAATATTTCTTTGAATACCTTGCAATTGATATATTTGCTATTTAATATTATCAGTTCCCCCATTAAGCCTATTTAATATTATCAGCTCTGCATCATATCCGAAATTCAGATTGTGTGTGACACAACGAAGAGTCAACGTGCAACGTGAACGACAAGAAAAATGGCAAGTAAAAAAACTTGTAAAGTCTTAATTACTAATTACACAGTCCTTCCCTTGAGTTCTCCTGCCTAAAATCTATATTGCCTTTCCTAAGATTTTAAATATAAATGATTGAAACTCAAGTTTACCACAATTTAAACTTAAGATAATTATTTAATTATTAAATCCATAATTATACTAAAATATAACACTTACGAAGTTTCTAAATATTAACTATTTCTACTTAATCCAGTAGCGTAGCGTAGGCCCCGCAGCACCCGCAATGGGGCCTCGTGATTTTGTTTACTAAATACATATATATGTGAACAGCGTCCCCTACAATTTCCAAAAATATTGTGTTGATTTATTTTTTAATGTTTTATTTTTTATGTTCTTTTATTATTATTTTTTCTAGTTCTAGTTATTATTTTTTCTAGTCTATAAGTTTTTTTTTGTTTTTATATTTTAAATGACTTGATATACGTACATAAAGCTATATTATGTTTTTAGTGTGTTTTTTTTATTTTAATATAAGGGCACCAAAAAAATTTTGCGGGGGGGCCTCACATTTGAAGTTACGCTACTGACTTAATCATTTAATAATTCTGATAAAAACACTCTTGATTATTTATTTTGAAAATCATACGGGCTATAATCATTAATATGACTATATTAACAATACTTAAATCAAAATTTATTTGAAGGAATGCCATAACCATCATTACAATAAATTGTAAAACAATAAGTATGTAATAATAACTCGGAATAATTATTAAAAACTGCTCATCGCGTTATAGATGTCGGCGTCTTGTCTCTATTATTGTATTACCCGTTTAGCTATAGTTTGATTTCAGATAATGCAGATTTTAATGTGCCATTTATGTTTTTTATTGGAATTATTATTTTTAGCATATTTTGTATACTCTATGAAGTGATTTTAAGAAGTGCTCCTGTTCATTTTTCATTTTTCAATTATTAAAGTGCCTATTTAGATACATTTAAAATTAATTAATTAATTGGTGTATAGTATTTGTATTATGGGTTTGTTTATTTTTTATGAAATGTATTTTTTTCCTATTAAAATAAACATAGCTTACTAAATCACTAGCCAGCCATTTTTAAATACAGGGTGTTAATTAAGTATCTGGCCAAACTTCAGGAGATGATTTTTTGAGTGTTTTTAAGGTAAAAAGTTCATATAAACATGTGTCCGGAAATGTATAATTTTAAAGATGTCAATGTGTTTTCTAATAGGCCTTTTTTATTAATATCTCAAAGATCCGTTGGCCGATTTTGTTGAAATTTCGCCGTGTTGTGAACTTTGATAAGTTAGCACTAATTAAATGATAATTATTTACAACAATATTCAAACGATAAAAACTTATCCCGATAAAAAATATTTGGCACCGCCTTGGATTCATTTGTTTTTACGCCTGTTGGCGGTGGAAACCATGCAAGCTTTTTCTTTGTCCTAAGTTGTTAATTAAAAAAATAATAATCATATAAAAAAAAATATAGGTCCTAATAGCCTAAATTTTATCCTTGTTTATAATAATATACAAGGATTTTATCAAAATGTATCAGCAGATCCGATGAGACCCGAGTTATTATATGTTTTGGAACTTAATGATTTAATTAATTATTCCCTTTAATGCATCGATTGTGCGCATTATCCTACGCGCCAAGAAAAAATATTGCATTAGTCTAAATTTATTATTTATGTTATTCCGCTCTTTCACGTATAATTTGCCTTTTGACTCTCTACGGAAAGAGTTAGATTAAAATAGCCCAACTGTACCTAACAACCCATGCCTTGACGCATATTCTTTTTTATAATAATATCGGCTTTCCCAGACTAAACATCCATATCCATAAAATAGTTGGCCCACACACACTAATAAGACCTTATTTCGGCCCTCGAACGGCCTTGCGATCGACTTACGTGTTGACAAGTTGATTAGGCAGGTTATTGAACTCATGTTGCCTCTAGCATGTCGTTTTTTCAAAGATGGGTCCCATATAAACGCGGCCAGAAGTATTTTCAATACTAAAATTGAATGAATATTTAATGAATGAAAATTAAAGGTTCGTTCCAACCGGACCGAGAACCGACCCTGGGACGGTAATTTCTAGTCGTCCACTAAGCTCCGCGCGCACTGAATAGGTATCGGCGAGAGCGAGCGACACGTAATTTTCAGTTTACGTTGAAATAAATAGAAGCCCGCGCACCGCATTAGATCGGCGCGCTCGGTGCGCTTCGAGCTATCGGCGGTACTCGCGCCATCAGGGGTAATCAGAGAATGCATGGGAGGGGGCGAATAAGTCTACGCC